CGAGTTCGACGGATGAAAAAGCGAGTCTGGAGCAACAGACACCGTTCAAAAATTCGCTTTCGACCGAATTTTCGGGCCGACCAATGGCCAACTTGGACAACGTCTAGAAGAAAACACTGAAAGCACCCAGCACAGCATATCACCCAACTTGCACCGCAGGGCCACACCGAAATATGATGAATCTGCAAATCAACGTTCTATCATGTACCGAAAACTAGCACCGCAAGGATATTTTGTCAGCTCCTGACAAAAGTCCCATACAGGAAAGGAATACATGATAAAATCAGCTACACTACGCTATGAAACATGATTACTCTGACAAACCGAGCTAGTCTTTTTTAAGAGTTTAGCATAATCAAATGTACAACGTTTCGAAAATAAATTGGCTTAGTCGAAATATCTTCCAATCGTATATGACATTGCTCAGGACAGAGTTCAACGGCAAATGGAGACAAGAAGCGTGGGATGCCATTGATCCAAATAAGTTTCACATCCAGCTAAGTAGTCGAAATATCGTACTTTATAATATATTGAGAGCAATAACTTCGCAGCCACTTACACATATCTGTGCCAACACAAATCACCCCTCTCGTACGCCACAGAAACCCACCCCTGTTGTGCGTCGCCAAATGTCAAACTTAACTGCGTTTCAGTGATGGTTGTAGTTCGCGTGCCTAGCAAACTTCGTCAGAGGTATTTTTCTGCCTACAGATTTGAGGCATCAATTATTACGGCAAGTAAAAAGAAGTTATCGATAACGGGGAAAGTAAAATCATCCTGCGAATTAAAAAAGGAACAAACAGTCTACCAAATATTGAGACAGACTGAATATTTGATCTTGAATCGTAAACTATGCGGTATTATGTAAGTTAACAAAGTTTTGAATCGATATATTACCAACGATAGTTCTATTGTTGAAAGAGGCCACAGCACGTAGAAAGCATCGACGTAAATAAAACATCTTTGGCATTACCTGAACAGTAGTGACTCTAAGATACTGATACGTGATCCAAGAGAGAGCGTAGTTTACAGAATACCAGAATTACACAAGGACTGCCCTAAGTTATATACCTGGATGAGGCTGGCACGGAAAAAAAAATCTTGATAGTAATTATTTGGACTCTTGTAAGAACAGTGGACTCTAATTCTGAACTGGGTAAATATTCCATTAGACAATTACATGCGATAAAGAGCAATGTCTAAATATTCAAAATATCTGATAACGCACGTTAAGTTAAAAGTCAACTTAACAAATAGACAGGCAGTTGTACAACTGATACAAGTTCAGGGCACCAAATGCATCTGGCCATCTGGTATGTTACTGTTCCCCTGACTGGTATGATAACCCGCAACGGGTTGCCAGGCTTATAGAGCTTCACTAATCCATAAGGCCATGAAGTTACACAGGAATCAATAATAAGAAGATCTTCTGCACAGAGGCTTGGTTGACGAATTTCTTTTTCTGGAAATTCCTTAGAAGCTTCAGCAGCTTTTGTCGGATTGTCTTGTCTGAGTTGACGTTACTGCAGTGTATTTGGTATAATTGACACTATTCATGAACTGTTCCAACATTCTCTTTTCATATTTATCCACAGGCATCCCCACGGTCTTCGCACTTTCGTCGACGTAAAGGACAATGAGGCTGATATCTTTCAACTTCTTCTTCAATCCTCTAATGGCCAATGCATAACAGGTAGACAAGTTAGGACGAGATTTATGGATGTTACTGCGAGCAAAAAGGCCAACGTTAGAAATGATTTCATTCTTAAAATTTTTTTAGCTCTTCACTGGAGTGAAGGAAACCTTTCTCTACTCTAACCAGAATATTCGACATGGAGCCAGAAAGGTCAGCAATGCTGAATCGGGGACCCAACGCAAGCACGTCAGATTCCATAAATGCAGTGCTGCTCAGATTCACAATTAGGCTGTAAAGAAAATTACAGAAATACATCTGACGACTGAATGCTTCCGTAGTGCGTGTAATCAAAACTTCTAGCCTCCTTCGCTGACCAGAATCTCGTTCTACATTAGCTACCTTGAACATTCACGCATGATGACATCTCTACCATACTGAAACTTCTTCTCGATGACAAAACTTCTGGGAATGACGTCATTCTTGATGCATGTCTTCAGAAAAATAACCAAATTTCGAAAATGTGTTAGCGGAAGCTTCCCATAGTTCAGTTCCCTCAGAACAACAACCAATTCGCGATCATATCGATGATATAAACAAAAGCTGAAACTTTTGATTCTGGACCCGTAGTCATATAAATGGGTAAGTGTACGATTCATGATTCGGGGCACAAAATGCAACAGAAGACAATTCCTTTACTGTTAATGCGTTGTGCATTCAATGAGTCATTTGTATTCAGCTCAACCTTAATGGTGCTACGGTCTGTGTAGCGAAACGCGTTGGCAGCAAAAGATCTTATCATCTGTTCCATTTCGTGCGCTGAACCATAAATCGTACAACCACCCATCTATGTAACTATGGGCCCAGAACCGAAGACCTGAAGTATTACTTACAAATTAACAAATTATAATTTTTGCAATACCAAGCCAAGAATGAGAAATTTCTACGAACTAGCTGCAGAGCATTAAAATTCAATTATGAAATACATACAGAAATAATAATTCGTAAACTGCTTACAACCATTATTTGCCGACCTTGGAGCGACTGTGCTTAAACTGAAAGACCAACATATACTTCGTGACAAAACCGTACTTGAAAGCATTTTGAAAGTAAACGTCGTTTAAATGCAATGGCGAACTTTAGTGCATAAATAAGTTAGTTTCGTGAATTGGTATCGGATATATTTTCACAAACTTAAAAACATACGTACCCTAATATCGTAAACGAACCTTTCCATTAGATTTGAAGGCACTTCAGCAAAATCGGTTGCACATCGAGTTCCTTAAAAGAAAAAGCAGTAAAGTGGTGATTTTAACTCTGTGACTTACCAAAAATCGTAAGATGCATCACGTTTCAAGAAACATTTTTCTTGAAACGCATATTTTAGACACTTCCTGATTGGTTTTCAAGAGAAAAATTGATCTGTCACAATACAGATTCGTAAGAATAGAAAAAACTTGACTATTGATGCCCTGAATTTTTAAGACCAGACAAAGTTATGAATAAGCCCCACCACCGTGACAATGTGAAACTAAAGCGAAAAGCCACATGATTACAAAAGACATCAGCTGGCCGCCATCCAAGCAGGACATGTATAAAATAGAACTCCCATCAGAGAATCATCAACTGCACGGAACGCAACGACAATAAGCACAAACTCCAGAAACTTTCTCGTATTTTAGGCTCCATTACCGGTCAATGGACCGAATTGTTTACAGAAGGCCTACTTTTCCGCTCTGGTCGAACCAGCAGGAAACGATAAAACAAACTACACATCAAACGCGGCAAAAGTCAACTGTTCAGCGTAATAACTTAAAATGTTTTCTCTTCAACTTCGATGATAGGTCATACTACTCAGAATATGAAGTACTACGGGGATCCCCCACCAGTGCTTCCTTTGCTAAATAATTCATAGATTTGTTTCAAGCCGAAGTTGTATGCATATGTTTTTATAATATTGAGCAAATTCTTTAGTGCGAATACATGCATAATAGTTTCATTTTACATCCTCAATCACCTTTTTGTTCCTGACCCAAAAAGCTCATAGCCTAAGCTCTTGAAATAGCAATAAACGCAACTGTTGTTTCTCGACAGTTTTATTAACAATAATTCGTGTAACAGATTCACGTCCAAAGTTTACAGAAAACCAGAAAAACCTAACAGACAGCTACGCTGTTCCTCGAACATACCTCGCATAATTTTCCATAATATCATTAAGAACACCAGATTCAGGGTTCAATGATATTACACAGAACTTATCTTAAATAAGGAGTTTAAATTCTTAAATATGATGTTCCACAAAAATGTATATCCAATCTCTTTTATTAATCCGTATTTATCATCATAAAGTACTCAGAAAAGTTTTGAATAAAAAACATCGATTAACTCTATTCTATTTAATCGCACTATCTCCACTGCAGTTAATGTTATCTGCAAAAAACGACGTCTGAACTCCTTCAAAAAAACAGTCATGTGGGATCCATTCTATGCAAGAAATTAAACTTTTCAGTTAATCATTTTATTCATAAGATAAACAGCGAAAACTGTGATAGAATTTATACTGGTAAAATATAGAAAACTCTCAAAGTAGAATTACAGAACAAGACGCAATTAACGATTTTAGACGCAATACTGTAAACATGATGCAAAATGGCAGGGTGTTTAAAAGAAAGTTCACAATGTTAAGAAAGAAGTCACAGTTCAAAAATTAGTGTTGTCCCGCTCCTATTTCATTAATAATGACATCAAGATTCACAGAAGAGCGAAGTTTACCTCCAACCATCCTTCCACATAGAGAGCTGAAATATAAAATTGTTCACACACGTTTAGTAGTGATACACATAATCCTACTGCAGAAATCGTAGCACTGACGGCGGAGGGCCTTGTATGCTTCAATAGCTGTCGAAGCTATGCCAGAAAAAGTGAAAGCGTCCGGTAGCCCATATCAGATAGGTTTGAGGGGAGAGACGAGACTAAGTGCGCTGAACCATCTATTCATTCTGAAGTGTCAAAACGAAAACGTTCCGAAAACGGATCGATCTACGCTGGGTTATCAAGGACCACGCAGGCCTGTTGGGGAACTAAGCAGTCTATCATAGGTAAGCGAAGAGAATCCGTTTCACCTCTCACCGCCTAGAGATATGGCAGAATGGCGACGCATGCGCAAACAGTGCTCGACGGAAGAAAACCATGTTGTAATGAGGTGCTATTGCATTGCTGTGAAGCACAGCAAGGGTTGTCATAAAA